GTCCCCAATGTCCCCTCAGAAGGTCCCCAGTGTCCCCAAGGTCCCTGGTGTCCCCAATGTCCCCTCAGAAGGTCCCCAGTGTCCCCAAGGAGGAGCCAGGGTGACACGGGGTGCAAAGGAGCTTTATGGGGACAACGACGGGCCCAGGTGACCACGAGGCCACCGCGAGGGGCGGGGGGGCAACGGAGGGGGACAGCGGCCACCCGGTGTCCCCAAGGGAGGCCCAGGGCCACCAGGAGGGACCACATGGAGGTCCAGGGCCACCAGGAAGGACAATGTGGAGGCCCAGGGCCACCAGGAAGGACCACATGGAGGTCAAGGACCAATGTGAGGAACCACATGGAGATCAAGGGCCACCGTGAAGGACAATATGGGGATCAAGGGCCACCAGGAAGGACAGCATGGAGGTCAAGGGCATCAACGGGGACAATATGGAGGTCAAGGGCCATGAGGAGGGACCACATGGAGGTCAAGGACCACCAAGAGGAGCCACATGGAGGTCAAGGGCCATCAAGAGGGACCACAAGGGAGGCCAAGATCCACCAGGAAGGMCCATATGGAGGTCAAGACCCACCAGGAGGAACCGCATGGAGGTCAAGGGCCACCAGAAAGAGCAATATGGAGGCCAAGGGCCACCAGGAGGGATCATATGGAGGTCAAGGGCCACCATGGGGGACCATATGGAGGTCAAGACCCACCAGGAGGAACCACATGGAGGTCAAGGGCCATGAGGAGGAACCATAGGGAGGCCAAGGACCACCAGGAAGGACAATATGGAGGTCAAGGGCCATGAGGAGGAGCAATACAGAGGTCAAGGATCACCAGGAAGGACCATATGGAGACCAAGGGCCACCAAGAAGAACGACATGGAGGTCAAGGGCCATGGGGAGGGTCCACAGGGAGGTCAAGGGCCACCAGGAGGAGCAATATGGAGATCAAGGACCATCAGGAGGGACCATAGGGAGGTGAAGGGCCACCAGGGAGGACGATATGGAGGTCAAGGGCCACCAAGAAGAACCACATGGAGGTCAAGACCCACCAGGAGGAACCACATGGAGGCCAAGGACCACGAGGCGGAACCATAGGGAGGTCAAGGACCACCAGGAAGGACAATATGGAGGTCAAGGGCCATGAGGAGGAACCACATGGAGGTCAAGACCCACCAGGAAGAACCACATGGAGGTCAAGGCCCACGAGGCGGAACCATAGGGAGGTCAAGGACCACCATGAGGGACCATATGGAGGTCAAGACCCACCAAGAGGAACCACACGGAGGCCGAGGACCACCAGGCGGAACCGCGCGGAGGCCAAAGCCCGCGAGAAGGACCCACATGGCGACGGCGGCCCTCGCGGCGGAGGCCGGGCCCCCGCGCTCAGCGCCCCTCGAGGCCCTTGTCGCGGGCCACCACGGCCTCCTCGAAGCGGATCATGAGGGTGGTGCCCTTGTGCCAGTGGGCGGTGACGGCGGCCGGGAAGCCGCCGGCCTCCAGCAGGGCCTCGGCGAGGCCGCCGGCGAAGGCGGCGCAGTTGAGGCTGCGGCGGTCGCGGGGCACCGAGATGAACGCGTTGACCAGCGCCTCCCGCTCGATGATGTAGAAGGTCCTCTCGTCGTCGTTGGCCTGCTCCAGCTTGTCGGCCTCCTTCCCGAAGATGGCCCGCCAGGCGGGCCCTTTGAGGAAGAGGAGGGCGCCCAGGAGCTTGGTGTCGCGGCGGAGGCCCCGCTCGCGGCTCACCAGGGCGTCGAGGAGGCGGAGGCCCACGTGGCGGCCCAGCTGGGCCAGGCGGGCCTGGAGCTCGGCCACGGAGCGCACGCGGCCCTGGCAGTACTGGACCAGCTCGGCGAAGAGGAGGGCGAAGGCGGCCAGGGCCACGTCGCAGCGGGGGCGGCCCAGCGGGCGCTCCAGCAAGGGGGACTTGGCGCGGGGGAAGCGGGCGGCCATGGTCCGGTGGTGG